AAAAAAAACGAACTGAGATTAAAAATCTAAATATTTTCATAATTCTTAATCTATCAAACGAATATCAAAATTTTTTATTTATCTCTAAAATTTTCTAACAAAGATTTTTACTTNCGCATCTCTGAACAAATACATTTTTGACAAGTTTCACAAAATAATATATACCATATACCTATTACCTTCCTAAACTCAAAATGACAAAAAAATTTTTTTCCTTCCTCTCTCTCTCTCTCTCTTTTCATATCATTTTAAATACTCTGATATCACGAAAATTCTTGAAGTGTCTTTATTTATTTATTTATTTACTCGTTTATATGCTTTGGTAAATGATAAGAAATTATTCAAGTAATCGTCGCGGAAAATAATATAAATTTTTCAAACTCCATTCATATATCTAATTCGAAAGTAAATGAAGCATTCAGTGTGAAATATTTTCACTAATGATAAAGTAAAATAATTAAATCGAAAATATTTTTAATTGCTTATGTGACTTTCTTTTTCCTGTTTTTTTTTTTTATCGTAAATGCCAAAAGGTAAAGAAACAAATTTTAAATGAAATTGTTATAAAAAAGAAGTCATTTACATGTAAAAAGAATATACAAATATATTTTATATTTCTTATCCAGTTCTGTTATAAAATATTCAAGATTTTTTATTGTAAAATATGATATTGAAAATGCATTACTAAAAATTTTGCCAGTATATTTTTATATTATCAATATATTTGCATATCATTAGTATACCTAAGGATTGCAAACATATCAGTATACTATCAATACACTTTCATAGTATAACCATGTATATATATTCATATTATAACTGTATATTTTTCAAGTTATCAGCACATTTCTATATTATCAATTCATTTATACCTATCTTATCACCGTATTTATACAGTCATCTTATCTTATCACTGTATTTATCGTTTTAATAAATTTGCATATTATCAATACATTCATATCTGATCCAAAAAGAAAATGCGATGCTGTATGAAGGGAAGGAATTGTTGAATGGATGCTAACCTGAGCAATGATATCCTTGGATAAATTAGCTAAATTATCCAATGCATCCGATGGTAATCCAAGAGTGTCATCCTTATCAACAAATTTCAACGATTGAATTTCAATTAGAACACGAACATGATTTCCTGATATTTGAACATTTCCATCAATTATACTACTAATAAGTATTGTGCCAACTGTTTCACCGCTATCATCAATATATAATACAGCTTCAAGTTTCAAATCTATCCTTGCTATACCTGTAACATTCTAATTAATATTAATTGATAGTTCATTAGCGGAAAAAAATTGAACAAGAGCCAATAAGATTACACTATTCAACGTTATTGATATTTATAAATACGAATAAAAAAAATATATTAAATAATAAAATAGTCATATAGTTACAAATGTTTTTCTTGCATTAATTAAATTAAAAAATGATGAAAACAATTCTTTACAAAGATTTGTTGTTGTTGTTGTTGTTGTTGCTGTTGTTGCTGCTGTTAAAACTTGTCATTTTTATATTTTCGGAATTTTTTTTTTCTACACAAATTAAAATGCTACATGATTTTTATTTTTATTGCATCATTCAATTTAGCAATTTGTTTCATACTTGTGAAATTTTTTCTCGAGCTTCTATTGTTAAATTTAATGATATTTATGGTTCAGTAAAAATTTAATAAATAATAATATAATGATATAAATTGATAAAAATTTAATAGCAAAATAATAATAACAAATAATAACATTTATGATACATATGTTTATCATATTAAAAAAATGATAAATTTTTGATCATTTTATTCGAGAAATGACTAAATTCTTCATCATTAATGATTTACATATATAAATTTCAATTATATTCCGAGATAATCAATATTTTTCTCGTTATATTAAGTTATGCCTTCATAAAGCAAGCAAAAAAAAAATCAACTAACCATTATTTTCAGCCAATAATGTTACGGTTGGTATACGTGTAGAATAAATTTTGATAGCGATTAATTTTTTCGGATATTTCTCACGTACAGCTGGCATAATATCACCTATACATATTCCTAAATCACTAAAAATATCCTCTTCCTCTTTGCTTTCCACATTATGATTTTTATCATTATCATTATCATCATTAGCAGCATCTCGTTTTCGACGTTTCCTAAATTTCGCTGATGTTTTTGTTGAATTTTTTTCACCATCAAATTCATCATCTTCCTAAAAAAAAGATGAAATTTGAAACATTTTTAATTAAAATACTTGAAGGTAATTGAAGATAATAGGAGAAAGAGAAGGGAAAATGACAGTGCAAATGTAATCAAATTTTAATTTGGAGCAGGAATAAAAATATAATTTATTTATGCGAATAATTAATTCAATGCAGAAATGTCATCTAATAACATCAAAGTTTTGATATTTCATTTAAAAGTATGCAAAATGTAAAATCATTTATTAGAAATTCCAACTTTTTTTCTGTTATAAAATAAATTCAAATTCATTTGCAAATTTAAACTAAATTAAACTTAAAATTAAAAAAATTACATTACATTTGCATCAAAATCGTTAAAGTCATCGTAATCTTCGTCGTTGCACGTTGTCTTTAATAATCCATTCAATTTAGGCGTTTCACGACCAACGTGAAACATA